AGCAGGGTCCCAGGGGCAGCAGGTCCCCCCAGTCCACAAAGGGGAAGCAGTGCCCAGATGGGGCTGCAACTGGTTTCCAGGAACGCGGGTCCCTGGCATGGCCGCCCATGACAGACAAGGGCCACCCTGCGCCTCAGCCCATTGCGGGGCAGGTTTCGTCGATTTTTGCATTAAATTAGAGGAAAATTAGCGAGTAACCACGACAGGAGGCAGGTTGCATGTGGCTCAAGCACTTGCCCTCGTTGCTCTTCCTTGAGCCCATTTGAGGTCTGTGGGGCGTGGCAAAACCAACCAAAAAACCCCGAGATTTGCAGGTGGCTTACAAATTTATTACCCAAGGACTAGAGTGGTGGTCAGCAGGGCTGAAGGAGGGGATTTTGGCCTCTTTCCCCCTACACTTCTTGCTTTTGAGGAAATTTCCCCTTCTTTCCAGGCACCTCTCCCTTTGTTTTCCAGGAAACTTCTCCCTTCCTTCCTAAGAAATCCCCCTACTGCTTTGATGAAATTTCCCTGTTGCTTTGCAGGGTATTTCCCTCCCACTACTTCCAGGAAATTCCTCCCTTGCTTCCTGGGAAATTTCCTTGTTGCTTTCTAGAGTCCTCCACTGCTTTCTAGGAATTCTCTCTCTGCTTAGAGGACACTACTGTTATTGGCAAGGTTTCCTCCTCATCAATCACAAAGCAGCAAGGAACGGGGCGCCTTAAAAAAAAAAAAAAAAAAAAAAAGAATTTTTCTCTTTTAATCCACCCAAGGGAAATCCAGAGCAAGAGCAGCGTCACAGCACTACACACAGCACAGACATCTATCATCGTCTTTGCACAGATTCCTTCCCAGATACATGGAGAAGTCATTAAGGAAAAAAAGAAAAATAAAGAAAATTATACACATATGCAAAGTGAAAACTAACAAATCAGCCACAGAAAACTTTTCTGAAGAGAAAAAGGATGCATCAAGGAAGAAGGCCCTCAACAGACAGGTTTTGCAAAATCTAGCCCAAGAATGTTGAAACAGAGGTGGTTTTCTTTTAAACACTAAAAACGGGGATTTTTTTTTTAAATTAATTTAAATATACATTTGAAACACAAACACCAAGCAAGCGCCTGGAGAACAAAGCAAAAAGAAGGAGGAATGAAAAGTGGATTCGACCAGTTTAATTTAAACACCAAAGTCAGGTGGACTGCACCAAATGGAATAAATAATGGAGATCACGCCGGGTTGGTAGGTCTCACACTTAAGATCATTTAAACTAGAATTAATTACGCAGCCCATGAGAGCACTGGGCGAGGAAGTCCTCAGACAAGAGATGCTAGCTGGGGCAGCGTCCCTTTGGCAGAGCGGGCTGTAGGTGTGGACTTGGCCCCTGCCGCCTAACAACGATCCCCAGCCCAGCAGCAGGCAGGATGATGAGGGTTTTTCTGTGATCCAGAGGCTCGACCCTGTCACCACGTACACGCAAACAGCTCCTTGCTCGGGGAGCGGGAACCCTCCGCCTCTTCAACACCGGCTGCCGCCAGACACGCCCGAGTCAAACGCCAAAGCACAACAAGCCCTTGTGTTGTCACCTCGCGAGGGGAACACGCAGGAGTGGCGTTGCTAGCGCAGCTCCCCGAGGTCGGGCACCGCAGAAGGGGTGTGGGCGCCTCCTTTCACACACCTGGGGCCAGGCTGGGAAACAAAAACCAGCTAATCTACACCTGTAGCCACCGCTGTATCACCCCAGGGGTGGGCAAGCGGAAGGAATGTAAGTGGTTTCTTGTTGTTTGGTCTTCCCTCCCCACAACCCCTGCATAAAAAAAACAAACAAACAAACAAACAAAAAACCAAACAAAACCCAAACAAATAAGGAAAAAAAACCCCGAACAAAAATAACTTGATCCCAAGTTCCTCTCCCTTCTCTGCTGCAGCAAAGCAGTGAAGCACCTTCAGACATTTGTGTGATCCCACAGACATGTTCCCTACAGAGCAGACATCTCATCTCTGCACCTCACCTGGATGTGCCTGTAACACCTCGTTCAGAGGGACATCCCTTTGCTTTAAACCAAAAATAATTACAAAATCAATAGTAATGGCTCCCTTGCCCTTCCTCTGATCTCCAAGAAGTTCATCCAAGTCCAACTCATTTTCGAGAAAAGGAGAAGGGAGGGCTGAAGGTTTCCAGGTCAAGGAACCTGCCAGATCCAGCCTCCAGCAGCGACGAGGTGAGCCCCCTTTGCGCAGTGCCCGCTCTCGACCCGGGGCCAGCAGAGCCAAGGAGGGGCTGAGGGGACACAGCTGCCCCTCCAGTTCCTCCTCAGATAGCTGGCAACTCCACAGAGAAAGAGGGGGACTGGGGTGGATGAGGGTCAGGTTATTTCCTTCCCATCCCTCTTCCTCCCCAAGGCTGGGAGGAGACTTCTGGGTCTGCAAGCCCAGTCTGTGCTTACCAGTGTCCTTAAGAATGACAATTTAAAAACAAAAAAAAGGAAAGAAAAATTTAAAAAGATATGCATAATTAGGTATTGTCCGTGGAAGGAGTGGGAGGGGGCAGGTTCCAGACCGAGATGGAAAAGGGACTCTCTCCCTTTCCGCGTTTGCTCGTCTGGAGACCACATCCCCTCGGCGTCCCTGCACGAACCCTTTGTGCTGTTGCTCTGACATTAGTCGACACAGATGATTGACACGGGGATGAACTCAGCGCTGCAGGGGGCGGGAGGGCACACACAGGCGCGCTGGGGCTAGGCCCGGTGCTTGGGGAGCATGTCCAGCAGGAACTCCGCGATGCCGATGAAGTAGACGACTTGTGCGATGCCGAAGAGCGGGGCAATGACCAGGGCTCTGCAGTATGCCCCTTTCAGGAAGGCCATGGGCCCTTCCTTCTGCCAGATCTTCCTGGGGAGAAATGGCACAGACAGGTCAGTGTCCGTCCCACCCCTCCACCGCACCAGGAGAGCCTCTGGCCATGCCCAGGCTTTCTTGTCTCCCTCCAGAGACTAAGCCCAGGCAGGCGCTGCCGCCCGGCACTGCCTCCACAGCGGACCAGCCACCATCTCCCATGTGCTCAGCGAACGGCCACGCAGGAGCGTGTCCCATCCCTACGTCTGGCCAGGAGCAGGAGCGTCTGCCTGGGCCTGGGTGCACAGCTGAGACAACCCCGTGCTTGCCATCAAGAGGTCCCCCTGCTCAAAAGCCGGGGCCAACTCCACCCTCCCACCAGCCGGATGGCAAGAGGGTCCGGCGACAGCAGCGGTACAGAAGCAGAGCGCTTGTGCTTTGAAGCTCCTTTCATGTTCTGAAGCAGCCAGATCATGGTGCAGCAGAGGAGAGCGGGGCTGGGGACACCCACTCAGCACTCCTGCAGCCGCTGTTCGGAGCGGTCCCGGGAGGGATTGGAGACTTCATGCTGTAGGATTCTCAGGCAACAGGGCCTCAGGAGAGACAACCACAGCACTGCCTCCCTTTGCAGAAATAAAATCTCAGCATTATGACTGCTGGGGTTTGGACAGAAGCATTTAAACATAAATGCTCCATTTACCTTGCTCGAAATAGGAAGAAGTTCTCTTTTATATACCTATACATATGAGCAGGATGTATCTGGCCATGTATCTATACATCTGTCCATACAGACTGACAGATAAAAGCACAGGTTCGGAGGGAACCTGAAACAGAGAAGCTGCCGGTTGTGTCTAGAAGCTGTACTGCCTGGCGGTGGGCAGCAGCAGACGCCGCACATCTGACGTGGTGGCCTGCTTCACGAGGAGCCTTACTTGGTGCAGTCCAGGATTCCTGAGTAGGTGTCTTCATTCACTCCTCTCTGCAAGGACTGCAGCCGCGTTTTGATCACTGGAGAGAAAGAGAGACACTGGTGAGCACTGGGAATGCAGCACGCTCTCCAGCAGGCATGACCCACCCTAAGATAGTGTCTTTGAAACAGAGTCAAAACAAGATCGCTAACAACACAGACCATTTTCATGTATTTATTGCAAAACAGGGGAAAACAAACCCATTCCTTTACAAAGGGATAAAAGAAAAACAGACACCCAAAAACCAACCCCTCCCCCTCACTGTGACCAAGGTTTCCACAGCTGACTTAAGCTTTAAATGCTTCCAAATCTGGGTATCTTTCTGCAAAGTGGGAACTGATTTTTCAAACACTCAGCTCCTTCTGGAAGAAGTATCTAAAATATACAATGCTGGTCTTACATTTCTTCACACCCTGGAGCATGTGCAATTTTGGGGAGAGAGGAGTTACTTTCTGGTGTTTTTCGCAGCAGAGAAACCAAGATGGTGTTTAAGGCAGATGCTGTGGAGCAGCAGCAAAGGCCACAGATCTGAGGCTCCCCCTGGTTGTCCACGACTGTACGCATGTACACGGTCTGCATGTATCGCTCCACATGGAAACGTGCCTTCTCAGGGGCACGATCGCAGCCGTTCCTGCAGAGACTGACTAAAAGGAATGACACCCTCTTCCTGCCTTCCCCAGCGAGTGCCGCAGACCTCTGCGGAAGCTGTGGCCAAAGGTGCGGCTCTGGTGGAGCGAAACATCATCCGAGCTGGAGGCAGCTCCAACAGCAGAGCTCTCCTGTACCTCCCTAGGCACTCGTGCTGCGAAGAGGCTGGCACGGTCACCCTCCTCCTCACCCAGCCCACTCGTGGGCCACCGACTCCTGTCACTTGGCACCAGGCCACCAGCACAGGCTACTCAGGACTCACCATCGCAAGGATTGACAGCCACCGCAGCCGTACTGCCAGCCACACACCCGGAGAGGAAGGACACGTAGAATGGAGCTTTGACATTGGGGTCTTTCTGGCCCAGCTTGTTCAGGTTTGCAAACAGCGGGAAGTAAACAATGGAGAACGGGACATCCCTGCGGTGGGGAGAGGGTAAGCGGACGAAAGGAGAACAAGGACGAGCGGAGTCAGAGCAGGATACCAAGAAACCGAGCATCGCAGAACGGGCTGCCAGCATCACGCGTTGGCAGCACAGCCACAAGCGCAACGCAGACAGCCCAGCCCTGCCAGCGCACTGCAGACAGGGGCCGAAACTTGGCAGGGGCAAAATTGACTGCACGAAGGACAACAGGCCCACAGGAGGCACGCAGCCCTGCGGAGCCAATGGCCTCCCCCTGGGTTTTCAACGCTCCAACCCAAGACCCCAGCCCATTCAGAGGTCAATCATTTTGTCCACTTCTGTTAATTCCAAGAGGTTCGCAGCCCCCCATCCCCCTGGGCATTGCTTTAGCTCTGCCTTTGTTACAGCTAGAGAAGGATCACTGTGAAAGCCCAGGTGAAGAGTGTCAGAGCGGGCACCAGTCTTTGCCTCCAACATGCTCCATGGGCCAGAATCTGTTTCACACTCTGGGGACTCAGGCTGACAGTTTTGCTTCGCTAGCTCACAAGGACTTCTCTAGTGTTAAAATATGGACTGTAGAGGAGATAAAAGCCTTCCACAGACAGCAGCAGATTTAATAATCTCCCGGGAACCAAACAGCAGCCTCCCTCGCTTCCCTGACCTTCCCTTCTTTAAGGCACAAAACCCGCACAAGGAAACCAAACCGAACCAAACCCACAGCCCCTGAAGCCAACACGCCCTTTGCAGGCTCATCCCCCGAATGGCTGGTGCTTCAGGCTCAAGACTGGGAACACTGGTGCCCTGTGCTGGAGCCCATGCCATCCTACCTTAGCAGTGTGGCTCCCAGGCCCTTGTAGAGTCCCGCGATGCCTTTGCTCCGCAACAGCTCCCTCGTTATCTGCGTGGCCGTGGTGCGCCTTTCCACCGCCGGCTCCGCCGCCCCCGCCGCAGAGGAAGAGGAGATCCGGGCCTGCGCTGCCATCAGCTTCTTCTGTGCCGCTGGGGAGGAGCGGAGAGCACTGGTCTGCAAGGTGCTCGACAGCAGTCTCCTGCTGCCCGTTGCCACGGGACAAGGAGGAGGAGGCAGATCTCCAGGTGCACCAGAACAGGCAGACTAAGGCCAGCCAGGCGCCCCACAAGCATCTGCTCCCAGTCTGCCCATCTCCCTCAGCCTGTGACAACCCAGGTTGTCCCAGTCTTGGAGCTGGCTGCTGCCACATCACCACGCTGTCTGCTGCACTCTCCTGCCAACTGGTTTTACCTAAGCAGGAGCAGCCTGTCACACGTGACCTCTGTGGTGCGGAGAAAAGGAGGTGCCGTGAGCAGGCAGATGACAGTACCTGCTTCCAGCTACATCCCCAAGGCCCCGGCAGGACAAACTAAAGCTATTCATAAATGAGAGAGGTTCGACAGAGGTTTTTCAAGAGGTTTTCCCTTAATCATTAACCTGGGGAGTGCCTCAGCCACATTTATAAACGCAACCTGCTTTCTCCCAGCCTTTTCAAACTGATGCATTTCTGCTCCTTGGCCAGAAGATGGAGAGCACAGCAACCTGTAGGCAATCCTCTGGCTGCCACCGGCACACCACAGGTCTCTTGCCACACAGAGAACAGGCTGTTCACAGCAGTGGAAACCTCTTCTGAACCCTCAAACCACGGCTTAATTCCTTCAAACATTTTAAAATAATACGCACAAAGAGGATAAGGTCTGCATTAAAAACAGCGAAGAGAGGAAAGAAAAAGTAAATCCGTGATTATTCAGGAACGCCGCATCAAAGGAGAGATTAAAGGACAAATTGGCCCATTTTCCAGGAAGGGCCACAAATGTATGTGTCATCCAACAGTGTCATGTAGGGCTCCAGGGGAAGGAGACCATACCCTGGGCTTACCTCTGGAAGAGATTAAGGCAATAGCAAACAGCTCTTTCCCCAGAGTCAACATGCCAGACTCTGGTCTCTGTTCTCACCAGAAATGCCCCAGAGTGTTTCAGCCAAAAGGCTTGCACCCTCTCCTACCTCTGCCTGCCAGGTCCTGCCCACAGCCCCCAGAGCTGACCCCAAACCTCTCCCAACTCCAGCATGCCAGGAGAATTTTATTTACTGTTTCAGCTGAGACAACTGCTGCTTTTGTCAGGAAGTGAAAAAGAGAGTAAGAAGGGAGACAAGTCCCTTGGAAAGGACACGTCCCCTTGGGAAGCCGTTGAGGAGGTGCTACAGAGGGGTAGAGAAGGAACAGACATCAGAAAACATGGAGATGGAGGAAGCACCACAGGAAAAGCACGGGAGGATGCTAATCCCTTCTTGGGTGCACAGTAATTAACGAGTTTTAATCACTCACAAGCTGACCGCCCAGTCATCTCTCCCATCTCTCTCCATCTACCAGCGGCATTGGCTGTTTCCCTTTCCAAGCCTATTGCTTTGAACAAAAATCATCTTTTATAACTGCAAGGGCCTCTGCAAAGCCAGATGAGCAAAGGGTTGGGGGTGAGAGGGAGGAGAAACTTCTGCTACAGCCTGAGACACGTCTGACTTGGCAGAACAGGGGGAAGGAAAAGGGTTTTCTCTGCTCATTCCCTCCCGCTCTGCCTCACCAGCCCCGTCCCAGCCCTTTCCCCCGCTGCCTGCTCAGAGCACAGGGAAGAGAAGCCCACGTACCAATTCGCCCTGCATCCTGCAGCTGGATTTTGAGCATCTCCATGGGAGTGGTGACAATCACCTGGCAGGTACCCGCGCCGCAGCCTGCCAGCATCTCCCTCAGCAGCGTCAGCTTTTTCCTGCCCAGAGAAAAGAAAGGAACAGTCAGTCGGAGGTGGCGGCCTGGGGTGACACCGAGGCAGCTGGGTGCAGGGGCCCGGGGCACACCTCTGACCCTGGGGGTTACAGGAGAGGCAACCCGGGGGACTGGGGGACCTCCTAGGCTTGACAGTTCAGCATGGCCCAGGCTTCGCATCACCTGATCCAGAGGAATAGGCCCATTTTGGCCCCAGAAACAACATTCAGAAAAAGCCACAAGCCCAGCCAGAACAGTCCCAGACAGCAGCACGCAACAGTCTCCATCCCCAGAGCTGCAGCTCTCTTCCAGCCCGGCATCGCCCCCAGTCAGGGCACAGCCTTCAGAAAGGGTATCACTTCAGAGGGCAGCAGAGGACCTGGGCATTAAGGGGGATAAGCAGCTTTCCTTCTGCCAGCCTAGTCCTTTAAACACCATCAACATCCCCACAAACAAACAAACAGAGACCACAGGGTAAGGAGCAAGGCAGGAAAATATTCAAGTTGCTGCTTTGGAGTTCTCTGACAAAAGCAAAATAAACAGTAAACATGAGAGTCAGGGAGGCAGTTCCCCTGCGGATCTGCTCTTTTCTAAAAAAAAGGGGGGGGGAGCATATATAAATCACACAGCCAGAGGGAAACAGCCTCCTCTTTTTTCTGTTTTAAATGCAAGTACCATTGTTACTCCCCCCAGCTCTGCTCCTGCAGCAATACCTCATCCTAACCTATTCCAGGCGAGTCCCTGCGCTATGGCAGAAGCAGTCCCACACCAAGATGCCCTATTCCCTCGCAGAACCAAGCCCGATGCACTTGCCGGCAGTTTCACACGCACACACAGACAGCACAGCTGTGGCATCGCGGGCCAGCAAAGAAGTTTCGATGCCAACCCTACAGGAAAGGGAGGGGAGAGGCACTGTAATCCTGCTGGCCCACCATGCCAGCTGGGCCTGTTTCTCCACCTCTCGTCTTCTCCAGGGAGGCTATCGGAGCAGGGAATTAGAGGCACAGAGCCACAATGGAGATTAGCAGTGACTAAATATAGAGCTCTCCTGTGAGGCTGAAGGGAGGAACATTTCATGGTCTCCCCTTTCCAAATTCCCCCACAGATGATAAGCTGCAAAGAACAATCCCTCCTGTGGAGTTACCCACACGGGTGCTGAAGTGTGCACCTGGAGGGTTGGAGGTATCAGGGTGTGCAAATCCAGAGGTGCCCCCTGGCACTGACACGTGGAGGTGGCCAACTTGTCCTCTTGGGTGGCCTGAAGCACAGGGCCAGTCTCTGCGCGGCTCGATACAGTCAACAGCAAGGCTGCACAACCCCTAGTCCAGCCGTGGGAGGAAGCGAACCACCCAAAGGAGCTGGCTGCCAGTCCACCTCTACGGCACAGCAGAGCGTCTCCCACTTTAGCAAGAGCCCTGGAGCATCCCTGGAGTATGTGTCTCCTGGCTTTCATCCAGGCTGAATGCTTCGATACCCAGTTCAAAAGATCAGGAAGATTTGCCCTACATTTTCATCTGCAGACCATTACCCTGGCCAACAAAAGTCAGCCTGGCTTCACTGAACGCCATGGAGCCAGTGTGAGTCAGCAAAGGATTTATGTGCATGGGTGTATTTTATAGATGTCAAACAGCTACATCAAAAGCATCTAGAACAAGGACTTTCAGCTTTTGGTTTGCATATCCTGGGAACCAGGGGGAGTTCAAGAAAAGAAACAGCCCAAGATAAGCAACCTTTTGTCAGGAGGTTTAAAATTTGCCATACAGGGGTCAAACTCCCTTTGCAAAACCTCACCAGTCTGCACATAAAAGGAGTTTGAAAACGATTCACCTCTAGATGACAAAGAGGTTTCAATATTTAAAGCAGCATGGGCCTTATCCTCAGTGGTTTAAAAACTGGCACATCTCAACTAACTTCAAAAGCTGCCACACCAGCAAGGATCTGGTCCTACAAATGCAGAAACCATCTTTTATCGTAGCAAGAGGGTGTTAAAAATAGCAGATACACAATAGCCCCAAATCCTGCACTGGCAGAAATAAGTCATTCCACTTTTTTAATTGACATGCAGTTAACTAGCAACAAATAACAATTTCAAATGGGAAGGGAGAAAATTCATGCTTGATGTAAATTAGAGTTTCAAACTAGAGCTGAAAAATGAGGAAGTCAAAAAGCAGGAACTAGAGGTTTACAGAGGGCTTTTCAAGAGCAATGCACCAGTCCAAAGTTAGGATCTCTGAAAGCATCGGTATCTTGATGTCACATGGGAGTACAGTAGGATTTTTTCCAAGATTCTGAAAAATCTCAACCGTGTAGTTGACTGTGCTTGGGCAGGGACCAAAATCAGCTATTCTGGAATCAGGATGACATGATTTCCAAAGACAGGGAATCTTTGACCTAAGGAAACATATGTTTCTACTTGCTATCCAAGAAGCTACCATTCCCAGCTTGGCCATCGCCTTCCTCTCTTGTAAAACAATCCCTGTCTCTGCTCTGTCAACCCAGCAGATTGTAGAAAGTGCCACAAGAGTTTCAAACCAGAGAGTCACCTGCTTTCAAACAATTTAAATAAGGGTCTTTGATATGGGTTAGGGGACCAACACACAGGAGTTGTCCTTCAAAGGAAGGGCAACCTGTCTGCCACAGCCACATGGGGGTATGCATATAAACTGCCAAAGAGCCCCCCCCACCCTGCTGGTAGCTCTCCCCGAATAGGCACTGTGAGATTATCAGCTCTCAACTGGCTCTTTCTCTAGGGGAAGGGCTGGATTCCCCCACCTCCAAGCCCCAGTGGGCTGGATGAGGGTGACCTGCATTAAAGAAGCGTCTGGGCATCCAGTAGATAACTACAGGAGAGGCTGCCTTGGCCCTCAAGGGTTCCTGCCCAGAAAAAACCAAAGCACAGTGTGTGCAAGGTGACACAAGAGCTCAGCACCAGGACTAGCAGCAGTACCCCTCCTTCCTCAATCAAGAGCCTCACTTTACAGCCTGGCTATGAGCATTTTTGAGGCTCAAGAATCAACCAGGCCATGCAATGGCTACTTAAACAGATGCCACAGAAGAGATAGTCCCAGTATTTTAGGAGAGCCTGAAAGGAGCAGATGAAGGAAGGAGCCCTGGGGAGACGTATCAGCCGGGAAGGCAATGGAGAACAAGCTCCAGTCTCCCCACCTGCATGGGAGACAAGGAAAAGTGCCTTGCTTGTCTCAGGATTACAGCTGGCTATTTCTCTTCTCTGAGCAAAGCAGGGGGAAACAGAAAGGGGGAAAATTTGCTGGCAGCAACAAAGACACAATTAACACAATCGTGCTGGTCTTCCTACAAATCCAAGCTTTTAAGAGCAAGAAATCGCTTTTATAAGAAGCCATGAGTCACTTTTTACCGCAGCCAAGGCAGAGTATTTAACCAAGAACCTGAAAAATTAACAACAAAACCTGGCAAACACGTGCCAAACACAACAGCTGCCTGGCAGTCAACACTTTGGAGATAAACATGAAACCTTGTAGGACACTTTAAAGGGATTGGTTTTTATGAAGTGTTTAACATCCAAATTCAAAGTAGGTGCAAAAAGTAGCCAATACTTACATCTATCGAAGAGGCCTTGCACACTGAGCATTGGAAAATCAACAATGTACTTTAAAGGCATGCTGGTGTACTACTGATTTAAATCACTTTCTTAGCTTCATACCGGAGCACGTCACACTCAAGTGCTTCACTTAACCCCAGTGACTCCTGACATCCTCTGGTCTGGACAACGAAGCTGCTGCTATTGTAACAGCAGCTGTGAATTATGGGTCTTTCATAATTCACATCTACCTTTAGAAATCCAGAGGGGAAAAAAAAAAAAAAAATCTCATCTGTTTCCAGCAGCCTGAAGGTTGGAACTTTCCCCTCTCTCGCATCCTGCCTTCCCCAGCCATGTGGTCCAGCCAGCACAGAGTGTCACAGGAATAGGGACCTGCCTGAAGACTCTTCTGTGGGTCACCTCTTCTACTTCTTCTCCTGGGAACAGCAGGGTTTGGCCAAAGCCCTCAGGCGAAAGTCATCACAGAACAATGTTTGACCCTTGCTGCCTTTCTCAGTTAGGGTTAGGGGTCCCCGTCAGGCTTTTCAGTATCTCCTCCGTTCCTCCATGGCATAGCAACAGGGTTTCCAGCACTCACACAACTCCCCCAGGCCTCCCTTGTTCCCACATGACCAGGACTTGGGAGGACCACCACAGTTTTGTCTCCTCATGAATCATAGAATCATTAGGTTGGAATAGACCTCTAAGATCATCAAGTCCAATCATTGACCTAATACCACCATGTCCCAAATCCAAGAAGCTGTAGCAGTAGGCTGTCATAATGGTCTTTTATAAGAAGCCATGGTCTTGCCATCAAAATAGAAACAAGCAAAGAGGCAGAAATCAAGTCCCCTAGCCTGTGAGCACACATCCTTCCTGCACCAAAAAAGAGGAAAAGCATTGTACAGCCAGGAGTGCCCCCACCCTGACCCAAGTTAGTCCCAGGGTGGAGAGGGCTGCAGGAACAGACATCTCCAGACTCAGGGAGACGGGTGCACCAACAAGGTGTGAGGTCCTGCTGCCCCAATATTCTACCTCCAGCCACATCCAAGAGCGCTGCCAGGGAAAAGGGAGTCTAGCACAAACCTGCAGTGATACATCCCCAAAATACTCTTCCAGTGATTTGCAGCCAGGAGCTTCCCACGCCACAGGTGGTGTTTTCAGTCTGGCCTTTTGAAAACAGGCTTTATGCCACTTTTTCCCCTAGCAGTTTAAAAGCAAGTTCATTTCAACACAAAGTTTTTCAAAGGACTAAAAAAAAAAAAATTAATGCATACTAAAAGTTGTTCTGTAACTTGAGGCTATTTTGGGTCATGCTGGATTTGCCACATTCTCTCTGGTCCACACATGCTTCTTCCACTTGCATGGGGAGGACACACTCAGCCTATTTTAATCGGCAAATACTGAGAGAACACGCACATTTTGTTAGACAAAGATCTCCAATTCATGCAACACATTTCGAGCGAGACAAGCGCTAGGAGCTTAGCAACAAAGGCATTCAGTGTCAAACAGGTCTAGAAGATTTTTGCAGTTCTGAGTCAGAAAAGCACCACAGCATCCTTTGGGATGCTGGCCCAAGAGCACAGCATGCTGTGAATGTCTAGCAGATAGTCTGGCTTGTGCAAAAAGGACTTTGGTGGAGCTGAACCAAGATCTTGGTGGCTCACCATGAAAAAACAGCCCCCAGCCTTACATTGAGCCTAACTCCCTCAGCTGTGCTTTACACCATACAACACCTTGACAGTTGCGATTACACATCTAGAAATGAAACAACAGGGACATGCCAGGCGGCTCGCATCTTCACCTTTCTAACACCGGACTATTTTGTTCCTCATACCTAGGCTTTGACTGGAGTTGTGAAACAAGAGGCCCAGCCTTGTAGCGTGCTAGCAGGTACGCACCCTGTTTTGCCCTGGGTAGGAGAGGCATTTGGATTCCAGCACTGCTAATCCTGCCCTGTCTTACAAACACAACTGGGGAGAAGGGGACAGAAGCATCTCAAGGGAGAAACCTGCAGACTGCAAACAGCTTGGAAAGAGGGAGCAAGAGCAAGGAAAACCCTTGGGGGACACACGGCTTCGTGACTCAATGAAACGGCCCCTCGCCACCGCTCCCATTTGCCACACGTGCTACAGATGGGAAAAGATCCTGAGAACTGCCAAAGGCAAGGCAGCACACAACGACTGCAGCATGGCCAGGGGATTTCCCTAGTACAGAGGAAAAGGATCCCACGGTAAGCCCTGGGATTTCCCTAACATGCAAGAAAAAGATCCCACGATAAGCAGCTGCCCTGCAGCTTCTAAGGGCCCTTATCCTCACCGGTAATGTCATGGCCTTTTCCATCACCTGCTGCTCCCCATGCACTAAGCAATGGTCACAGCATGCACCAGACCTTCCAGCTAGATCCCAGGTTCATTGCCTATACCAGCCACAGCCAACCTGCAAGGCATTTTCTTTCCCACCACATCTTGGAGTGACATTTCTAGTTAGAAACCCCTTAAACCATCTATCACAGCAGCACTCAGGCTCTGCCTCTGTCCAGCTCACCCTGGCTATTGCCACGTGCACAGCTGACCAGATTTTATTCACCCAAGCCCCCCCACAGTGGTTGAAAGAGATGAGTGACCCCAACTCCACATGCTGTCTAGCTCTTGTCACCTAACTGTGGCTCAACCTTTCTTTTCTCTAAAGCAGTTAAAAATGCTTTGTGTCAAGACACCAAGGCTCCCCACTACCTGAGCGGTATCACACTCCTGTCAAGGTCACTGCAGTGCCAGTCACACCAGTGTACATGTTTTAGGAGAACAGGGTGTTTTATTCTTGGCAAAAACTCCTTTATTCTGAATCAAGCACAGCACATCATCCACGTCATGTGTGGATCAGCCAGGAACCCAGAAGTCAAACTGGAAGAGGCCTGGGTGAAGACCTCAGCTGCACCCCGCTTACCCAAACACCTGCTCAAAGCCTGCCTCAGCACTGAGAGGCAGACACGCACGTTTGTCCCATGAGGAAGTGGTGCAGGACATCTACTGATCTACTGATGGCATATTGAGGCATGCCATGTTTGAAGAGCTGAAACACCACAGCAGTGGTTCCTCTCTCAGAACGCCAAAGACGCTGCAATGCTGGTGTGATTTCTTCCACGGACCACTCTCTCGGTGGGGGGACAAGGCATGGCAGCTTGGCACCCTTTTGTCTTCCCTGTACAACCTACTGAGCTCCCCTTGGCAGGTGGTGGCGAAGAGCTAGCTGTGCTCCTGTCTGCCGCAGTACGCCAGGGCCCGCTGCATTGTCTGCTGCAGGGATCAGACCCACCGCTCAGCAGAAGTGAGGAGCGATGAGGACATCGTTACCTCACACTGCCTGAGCAGAGCACAGAAGAGACACTACTGGAAGAGACAGAAAATTACAAACCGCTGCGAGCCGATGAGTCACACAGACATATGTTAGCTGCTACTTTAAAAGACTCCAGAACAAAAAAAATTACGTACATGAAAAAAACAACTAGATCCTCATCCTGTGTCAGTGCATGTTCTCCGCTGGAGCTGTTGAGCCACTGATCTGCAGCAGCCGAGACTGACGTGGTACGTTATGGGAAGTTGTTAAACCAATTAATAGTGGCAGAGCTTTGCATTTTCAGTGAGGCTCCACCCCATCGCTGTTGATGGGAAGAGTCAGGATCTTATCTCAAGCAGGCTGTGAGAACTACTGTCACTGCGGACTGGAGACAGTGTCCTTCACTGCCTCTGGAGAAAGGTCTTGGTCTGAAGGGAGACACAAGTGTTCTCCGAATCGCAAGAGAAATATCTTGGTGAAAAGAGCATTAAATATTCAGGGTCCAGCCCCTCTCAACTGCTCAGCTAGCATGTTTTACTCACATTAAATTCACATGAACCAAGCCCCCCTTGCAAGCTAAACAGATAATTTTATTCCTTCAGCATTTATTTGCAGGTCAGCTGCTGGGCAAGGCTGCAAGTGTCCTTTGTCAATTCAGATTTTCCACCTCTCTAAAACTATTTTCAAGCTACAAAAGGACAAGAGGGATGTTAAGTTTGGGGTCTACAGAACAAGCCAGAAAGAGCATAACAGCATCCAATAAGATGCTGAGGACAAGGGTCCTCCCAGCAGCTGTTTGAGCAGTGATCAGCACCATTGGGTTCCTCCCAAATACTTTGCCTACAAATTCTGGATCTGCTAACCTTGGCTTAGATCTGGGACTATTTTTAGAAGCTCAAATAAAAAGCAGTCATCCAGTGGAGCGCTTTTCACTTCCCATTTTAGACATTACATCCTTAGCCCAAATGCAACGACCGGCTGAGCTGTTCAAGGTCAACTCACACTTCAGCCATCACATCACCCCATTCCACCTTTGCCCCGACATCTCACCAGACTTGTCCCAGGAGCTGGTGTCTTTTAAGTTAAATGCAAAAGGTCTGCGTCCCCTACTCACCCGTCTTTGGAGAGGTGATGCCGGAAGAAGTCATTGGCTGCCAGTTTGATAGCCTTTTCTGGTGTCACAAGGGTCAGGTTCACTGCAGCCCCTAGGCAAGGAAAAGAGGAAAAGGCCACTGGAGAATGAGAATAAAGGAACTGTTAACTGGATCTTTCAGGAATGTGTTGTAGCTCCTGCTCAAAACCAAGGACTGACGAAGGAGAGCTCCCAATGCACCAAAGGGGTTTAGAAACGTGAAGCACCGCTGGAAATTAATAGCATTTCTGCTTCCCAGCAACCTTGGGCTTTTGAAAACACCCCCTGATGGGTTTCTACTCCATTTGCAACATTGTTTTTGTAATTCCTTTAGCTTCACTACTACCTCCCACCATGCATACATGCATCCTCTTCTCTCATCCAAGGATGCATTCCTATGAATCCAGAAGGATGCCAATCAGACCTTCAAGAAAGGAGTACAAGTCGGATTAATAACCAATCCCAACTCCTTTGCAAATATTTTGTAACGCTGAGAAGCAAAAGCTCCCCACTCCACCTTCTTGCTAGTGTCCTGCCCCACCACCACCAAAAGCAGAGCGTCTTGCTCACCAGGCAGCCCAGAAAAGGCAGAGCCACTGAAAGACTTGGAGGCTGGTTGAAGCCAACTGGCTCATCTGCACAGTCAGCCAGCTCTAGACCAACGCTTGGAGTGAAGCAGCTTCCCTCGAATACTACCACTGGGTGTCACCCTCAGAACAGCCACAGCTGGAGTGGCTTTTTGTCCACCACAGGCTGCAGAAATTCCCCTCCAAGCACCATGGCAAGGCTTGCTGGGGGACCTGGGGTGTAAACAAGCCTTGGCTCCCCCCGCACCCGCTGGAGTGCCCTTTTGTCAGGAGCAACAAACAGCAAATCCCTGTATTGTCCCTGCCACAATGAAAGGTCTGCGTGGCCTGGCCGGCCGCTGGACACTGGTATTAGTGCAACACAGTGGTTGGGAGGCAGCTTTCAAGCTGTCCTGGGGGAAACGGGGTGAGGGGAGGGCCAGTCCCTTCTGAGCACACTGGGTTTTGCATCATTAGACTAATGCTCCAGAATATTCTCCTCTCTTATGGCTCAAGAAGTCCTCCAGCAGATGACCACAAGCTGTCCCTGCTTGGACTGGAGCATGCTGACCTCCAAGCCCTCCCAAGGAGCTTCACTTGAGACTTGCCAATGGCCTGTGGACACCTTTGCAAGGACAAACACACATACTAGGGTATACCTTTTGCATTTATGCTTGCTGTAGAGATTTAAACAACTCATCCCAAAGCTCCATTTTCCAAAAGGAAGCAGATAGAGAAGGCTGCACTCCCACTAGGCTCCGAAGACCTGGCGGGGTTCATTTTCAGGAGGTTTGAGCACAAGTGGACAGGAGCTATAAGGGCTCAACACCCCCTTGAAAGGCAACACAATCATCTGTTCCCCAGGATGGACTCCTCTCCCTACAAAAATGATTACATAACTCCTAAATTCGACAGGGAAAGACATAGGTTTAGGGGGACTTTCCTCAGATTAGGAAGAAAAGTCACAACTGGGACTTCTGGGACCAGTACAACTGGGACCAGGACACGGCAGTCCTTGGCTCCACATCCTCTGCTCAGAGGACACATCTCCATCACGTGGGAAATCACAGCAAGAAAACAGACAGCCTTTGCTGGGCAAGGCTGGGCATCCCAACACATTTTCCCCCCTTCCGTCTGCCATGTTCAGATTTTGCAGAAAATACAGAGCAGCGCCGCCCCGTAGCAAGCTAAGCCAACGCCTGCGTTCCGCAGCGGCCACGACATCCAACAAATGCCACGATCTTCTCCAGGAGCCAAACGAACCAGCCAGGGAGCAGGGCAGCCCTCTCACCTCCTGGGTGCTTTAGTTTGATGTGCTTCCTACACACCATGTGCTGCCGCTATGGCTCTTGCACCTGAGGAGAAGCCACACAGACATGACCCCACGCTCCACCTCCACTTTTTAATGTCAGTCATACCAGGATCTACAAAGCAAACCCACACGGCCTGATTTTTAAGCAGAAGTGGTTACCCGTAAAGTGTTTCCTCGAATGCCAAGTTGAGGACAACTTCAACCCCACTCCTAACGGCTAGAAAGTAAAACACCTGCTCATTGTGACATGCAGCATGAATAACCATTTCCTTGGAAAGACAAGGAGAGAAAGAAAAAAAGAATAAACCCACTACTCTAACACCAGTGCAAAGCATTCACTGAAAGAAAGAAAAACTCATCAAGCAAGAAAGGTAAGCGAGAAGTATGCTTCCACATGCTGACCTCCTCCAGTAATCAGGAGGCTTTCACAGCAATTTCTGCTTCAATTGCAAATAAAGTAGAGGGTAAAAACACATAATATACAGAGAAAAGTTAATGAACCTGAGTTTTCTCCTACATCTCTGATATTTTCAGTAAAGCTGCTTAGCAGAGAATGGATAATCCCTGTCCTCAATAATCCGTAACAGTTTCAATTCGCTGGAGGAGGAGAAATGAGATACTTCAGCTGCTGCCTGTATGTTTTCCATGGCGTTTTCTACTTTTTTACAAAATCTCATAGCTCTTCAATTCTAGCTACACCAGTGATTCTATTTCCCTAATTAAAGCTAACCTTGCCCTACAGGCAACATTATACATACCAAAAGCAATGACAAGACAAACGGAATGCAAAAATAAATTGCAATCATTAAAAAATAGAAAGTATTTTGACAAGAAGTATGGAAGCACTACAAAGAAGAAAGTCAAGCAGAGGTAAAACCAATTGTTTGCAACTGAACTTGTAAGTGCCCTCTTCTCGCTGAGCCTTGGGTTTTGTTATTAAAACACATTTCTCACAGAAGCCCTTATACACCACCAGCAACCTACGTAACAGGGACTGAGTCATCCCCAGCGCGGCACTGGTGCACGTGGGAGGTATTATCAGCAGAGGCCAGGGAAGGCTGCCACAGTGCTGTAGCTAAACCACAGCTACCCTCCAACCGTCATCGACAGCAAAGGGCATCTCCCAGCCTGACCTAGGCCTTTGGCTCCCACCAGCTAGGCTAAAGAGATAGTCTGCAAACAGCATGGGGCTTTCCAGGATGCGTGCTGGGCTCTATAGATGGCTTCTGGATGGACTGCAGCAGGGAGGAGAGAGCACCTCTCCAGAGTCCCCTTCCATTGGTGTCCATGTGGCCCAGGAGCCCACAGGCACCATGGATTCATTCACTTGGCATCATGTCTGAAGGCAGCACACCGTCATCCCTCCAGCACAGACGGGGCTAGACAGCACCACCCAGCTTTGAGGCACTGCTGCTACCTAGATGTTAAGGAAACAACGTGAGAAGAAACCCTCCTCCTTCCTCCCACACACAGACCCAAGAATCCCTGTAACTTTGGGGGAAGAATTTGAGAGAAATGTTGGGATTGCCTTACACATCACACCATTCACTATGGGCTACTCATACAGAGCAAGGACTGTCTGCCCACACACAACCCTTAAGAGATGTTTTGCAGAAAAGCATCCTACAAGCTCAAGCCTTTCTCCTGTCCGCACTGAGGAGCTTTGATTCACACACGAAGGAGACCTGAAGTCACAGAGTGGGAACGGGCGCACCCAAACAGACCCTTTCTGTCCTCTGACAGAGGCCAAGTGCCCTGCAGGGATGACTGACGTGCTTGTGACTCCTCCATGGGGCACAGCAGCTGCCACTTTAGCACATTACCATATAATCCTCCCAATTTCAGCTCAAAGGCTGAAAATAAGAGCTTGTGAGTCATACAGCAACTTCTGCTGGGGAACTGGGACAGATGCAGGGAGCAGGAACCCATCCCACCACCTGATTTCCATCTTCCCCTGTCTGCAAGGCTGAGCCATCTCTTTACCTTCTTCCCAGAAAAGTACTCGCATTCTTCATGAACCTTGGATGTATTTTACGTGCTCATCCTCTCCTCGAGAGGGAGGAAAGGGCTGCTAATAGTCAGCTCACAGAACTGAGGCACAGAGACCAGGACTGCTGTACTTGGAGGACTCACCTTTGCACCCTGGCCATGCTGAAATATCTATGAATTTCTGGAAGGAGCTGGAGCTATTTACAAACATCGTCTCCAAACCCAGCTCCCTATTTAACAGTCATAGGTGACAAGTAAATTCAAGCCACTATCAGCTCCCTGAACAGAGGGGGTACAAAGTTAGTGGGACATGGACCAAGCTGACCGGACTCACTAGGGCTGGGAAGAGAAGAGCTATCCAAAACCCTCTGCACCCTTTGAGATTTCTGCTTGGGAGTGCAAAGTGGCCTGGAGATGCACATCCCCTCCATCACTCTCCACCTTACAGGACTGAGCTGTCTCTCCCAAAAGCCCTGATGGGTTCTGCAGTCTCCCCCTTAAGTTTCCAGGAACAGCTTCTTCCTTCTGCTCCCCAGCAAGCAGCCTGCCACTGCGTATTTACAGCCAAAGGTAATGCAGGCTCCATTCCTGGCTAGGAGAACAGAAGCAGACAGCTTCTGAGAAAAATCAAGGAGGAACACGTCACTGCTAGCACTGAAGATGGAGCTTGCCAGGGTTCCTCGGGGTTATTTGTCTTGTTGCCTGCTCCCAGAAAAGCTGGTGTGAAGCAGCCAATCCATCCCCGGTATCCACCCCACTCCCCCGAAACGCCCACCAGCAAGTTGGGCAAGAGACGCTGCCTCAACAGCCAGTGCCTGCTCCCAGGCCAGCCGGCCGCAGTGCCTGTGTTTCCTCAGGAGCTGTGGGAGAAGTGGCAAGAGACGTGACTGCTGCCAACAGCAAGGCACTGGCATCTCTGGACTCCTACTTGAAAAAAAATCAAAGAGCAAGAACTGGCTTAATCAAAGCAGTTCTTTAATCAGGCTTTATCAGTGAATGAACGCCACAAAGAACGCTATCGGAGTGCCTCAGAGATAAAACCTGCATATTAAGGCAATTGAATACCAGTATATAAAATGAACCGGAGTTCAGTGTCAACTAAGCCAGCTGGGCTGTGCTGAAAGCCAAGAAGGTATTCCACATTTTCCGCTGCTATGAGTAAACTCAGAGTTTGGCCTGCTGTTCCCCTCTCCTCAAAATCTTTTAAAACTAGCAAGGATTTTGTGTTTAAACTAGAAAAGGTATAGCATCAACAGAAGAACTCACTGCTGCAACAGACAGCCTAAGCCAGGGAGTCAGGAGATTTCTAGCAGGTTAGCACACAACAACCAAACAGCTGAAGCTCCACCATGAGCCAACCTCTGATTTTCTCACCACCCTAAAGGAGTTTTTTCTGGGGGCAGGTTATTTTAATTTATTTTTTTTTAATTGCAGCTTGTCTTAATACTTGAACAAAGAACTCAGGCATGCTGAAGAGGCAACTAGTTTTGGAGGCAAGCTACCAACTAGACAGGACAGCAGGCCTGACCACGTTGGTGGTGGGCTTTGGCATAAATTCAGTCATCAACAACAAAGTAAGACACTTCAAGAGGTTCGCTACTGCCCCTCCGACAAAAGTTACCGTGCCCAAGCTGGGAAACACACACCCAGTCCTGAAACAAAGTCCAGCAGCTTCACTGAAACTGCTAGAAAAGATGAACTTCAGTAAACAGTAAGGTTGAACACCAAAACAGCCACAGGGAGGACTCAAGCCCTCAATGGAGGGCTGAGCAGCCACTTGGTGTAGAGGAGTTTATTTCCAGAGACAGATGCACCTTTCAACGTGTTAGGATATTGCTAGGTTATTGCTTTATAAGCCAGAAAACACAGGCTTTTCCTCCCACTTATGCACCAGTGCTTCCAACGCAAAAGCTGCGCTGTGCCTGACTCAGCTTTACGTACCTCTGTACATGCCAAAGTAGCCTTCCGACCGAATTGTTTTAATGAGGCAGTCAGACCTGCAAACAAAACACAGAGAGATAAACCACAGGGGCTCAAAGGTGGGCAAGAGCAGAGAAAAACAAAGCCAATCTCTTGGAGTGGTATTCATTTACGATCTGTCAGCAAAACCCTGAGCCGAGAAGGGAACCACGTCTGCCGCTGAATGCGCCATTGTTCAGGCCTGAGTCCAATTTCAGCCCCCGATTCACAGGGGCTTTGAAACCCCCGGCTCACCCTGCACGCGCTGTCTGCTTTCTAGAAACACAAAAGGGAAAAGTGTCGCTGCAAGGGCTGTTTATCCAGGGTCCCCTGTGGCAAACACGCATGAGATGCTCTAACAAGCAGATCCCCATGCACATGTTTTTAAATCCAGCTCTGGAAAGGAAATAAGGGGGGCTCAAACCCCCAGTGCTGACTTGCTCCACTTACTCCGTGAAATTTGACACAAGGCACACAAACACTAGATGACCCCAACGCTCAGTCATCTGTGACCTCCCACGCAGATTAAAGCAGGGACTTTCAACACACCTGGCCCCACAGCAGGCAGCGAGCACTCCGGCTCTCACCCTGGGGAGCGCAGCAGGGTGCCCCAGAGGTCCTCTCCGAGGGGAAAACTGTTGCCGCCTTTGTTTCAGCTACGTTTACTGCAAATGGGAAACCCGGGCAGAGCATAGGAATGGCTCGACGCCTTTTCAAGGCACAGCCACGCACCTAACAAATCCAGCGGTGCCGTTCGGGAAGGCAGCACAGGTCCCCTGGCAGTTTCCCTCTCTGGACCATGGCTGCATGAAGCCGGGGCGCTGGCTGAAGGTGCTTTGGGGTCTTTGGGAAGGGACAGGTACTTGCTGTGGCCATAGGGGAAGGGAGAGCTGCACATGCATGCATGTGTACGTAATTAAGGAACAAGAGGCTCTTTTAAGTAGTAATAAGGGAAGGGTAGCAGATGAAAACAAAAATGTATTTCTAAGAGATTTGGCAACACAAGGAGTAAACTTCACCTCCGCTCCATAGTAGTGCCGAGGTGGAAGAGAAGGAAATACAGAGTTCCCTCGAGGGCTTTATGGCCCTGCTTGGGTCAAGACTGTTCTAAGGTACCCTGTGCTGTTTGTGAAGAGCCTGCCCTGCACTGTTGCCAGTCACAGCAATGAGTCTTCCCTCTCTGCTGGGACTCCCCACATCCTTTGGGACCCCGTCTTTCACAGATCTCATCCCAGCTCCTGCAGCTTGCACGCACCCATCTTGTTCTTGGGAGCAGCCTCCCACACACACACACGTTTGCAAGCCCCAGAAATCTTGGGTCGCCTTTCTTCTCTCCCCCCATGCCCATGCTGGAGGCAAGGCATTTTCCCAGAGCCAGTGGTAGAGAGGGGAGTGGGATTCCAGAGCTGCTCCCCACCACACTCATGCAGCCCTGCTGCCTCACCATAAGGCTTGCACATCACTCCCAGCCCCTCGAGCTGCAGCAGAGCGAGATGGAGCCAAGACCATGCCCAGCTCCTTTCTCTCCCTGGAAAAAGGGAGCCAACAGCCAACTAAAATTATATATAACATACCTGGGGTGGCGCAGCCCAAAAGCCCAGATCTCTCCAGCCCTCAGGGCTGCTACAAAGTGTCTTTGGCTCTTTGAAGGGAAAGATGCCCAAGGTCTCTCCAGCTGAGCAGAAGCAAGACAGCTGAAGTTTTAAATGAACTGGATGCCTCCCTGGGTGTTCAGCAAATGCCTTTGAGATTGAGTATTGATGGGCATACAGTACTTCCCAAAAAATAAACCCTGTAACAAGCCCTCCCAAATCCCCAACTAACATAAAGGTGTCTCTGAAGACATGCTCCACACACGGTAACAGCATCCTCTTAGCGCCTTTCCCTTGTTTGCTTAGGTAGGACACAGGATGGCCTGATGTTGTCTAGAGGACGTGTTATCCCCATTGCTTCCCTGTCCCTGCTGGCCCCTCGGCCCCCAAAAGACCCTTTCACTTACCCCCCCCCCCACCAGCCCAAGCTCACTTTCCGTACAGCTGCTGCCAATGCCAAAGGAACACCTTTGGCATTACTCACCCACATCCTCATCCCACAACAGCTCCTGCCTGCGGAGCAGATCTGCACTCAACTGCTGGAGGTTAAAAGCCTCTCTCCTCCTGAGACCCCTCCAGACATGAGGCATCCTGGCACACACTCCCAAGGGGAGCCCTCAAATCCTCCAGCCTGCCTAGATTCCTGTTGCTGTTGCCTACCAGGTCAGGGAGAAGAGCAACCCACAGCAGTTGGAGGAGCAGAACACAACAAAAAGGAGAGGCCAGGCAAGCCAGGAGGCCACATCCTGCCAGCACACCTGGGCACACAAACAATGCCAGGAGCAGAGAGCGCTGTGACTGTCAAGGGAAGAACCAGTCTGCCGTGGCACGCCGGAGCCTACAACCTCATGCGTCATGACATGTTGTCAGCTAGAGCAAGGAGGCCCGGAGACTGAAACCACCAACATACAGAGCATTTCCTTCCTTTTCACACTTTGCCTCAAATTCTCCTGGGCAGGAAGAGAAAAACATTGGTGTGGAGGAGCGGGAGCTGGTAATGCTACTTCTGAACAAAGTGGCAGGAAGATAGGACACACCTCATCAGTCCCAGTCCCTTCTCCGCCCTCAATGACACCAGTACTTCTGGAAAAGTAAGGCCTGACTCTGGTTCCCAGGACAGAACATCTCGTGCCGAGTGTGGTGCACATTCCCACAGCAGATACACAGCCCTAAGCATCCCACATAAATCCCAGGTGAATTTGGTGGGCTGGCTATATTCATGGCTTCCTACAGCCTGCAACACTTGATTTTTTTTGGACATCAGTCTGCTGGGGTAACTACAGCACGTCTCAACCTGTGATCCTTCGAAAGGTCTGTGTGCAGTGCTCTGGACGGGGAACGGGTGACTGCTTCCTCTTTTTAAAACTGACACAGTAGAAGGAAGGACCTCCAAAATAAGAGTCATGGAAACACAAGAGAGGCAGAAATTCCCTCGTGCACCTCATTGTGGCCCAGCAGAGAACCAAATGGGGCTCCTTGTGTTTTGAGCCCTGACAGCAGCGAAGATGCTGCTCCCAAGCAAGGGACGCAAACAGATGTGCCCTCTGCAGAGATCTCGCCTGCTGGGCTCAGCAGCCTGAATAGCTCCTTTATTTGCTTCATCTGCTCTAGCACAGCATGGTTCAAGATTGTCCCCTGGCTTTCCTGCAGACAGCCCAGTTCCTAGAAATGCTGAACTCACCTGAAAGGGCAACAAAGTGGAAGGACTCCCCACCAAAAGCCCCGGGGGATGCTGCCCGTGCGGGCGGTACTCACATGCTGGTGTACATCCGCTGGCCATTCTGCTGGTTCTGCAGGCGAGTTTTTGCCAGGTCAATGGGAAATACACAGGTAACCCCAATCAGCCCAGCTATCCCTCCATTGATCAACTTGGCAGGTAAACTGTAAGGGGACAAGATGCAGAGAAACAGATGTCTTAGCACTGGGCTAATGTCAGAGGAAAGAATGGAGCTCTTGCTTGACCAGAGTTAACGCATCGCTGTGCAAAAAGGCTGTCCGTCCCCCCCAGCACCAAGGCAGCTCTGCCTCAGGGCAAAGCTTGGCCCTTGCTGTACATACAGGGAAGGAGGGGAAAGCTGCACATAGCATCAGGACAAACCACTGATGAGCAGAGTGCAGCCAAACAGCTAAGCCACATATCACTAAGAGCAAGGAAAAACCCTCTTCCCCAGGACCCACGGGTTTCTCTTGTCCCTAGAGGAGAAAAGACAGAGTACTGGACCATCTATATCACGTGGACAGACTTCAGTTAGGGCCTGGTGGCATCCAAGCCAGCAGGTCCACTGGCAAATGCTTTTCAGCACCGCAATCAGATATGCATCTAATGAGAAGTTCGTGACATGTCAGCTGCTCCCATCGTGTGGGAATCAGCCCAGCAGAAGTGCCCAGCTGGCAGCCGAGGAGCAGACGGCTGCAGCTCCAGGAAACTGTTTCCAGACCCACGGCCCAGGGCGAGGGGAACACACACAAACCAATAACCCAGTGAAAGCACCGGACTGGCAGCCTGCATGACCACAGATGCAGAGACGTGAGCTCATACCTCTCGGGGAAATCAAAACCTGGCTGGCTGCATGTGCTTCCAAACGCGGGGCTTTTTCTGCTCGCCTTTGGGTTCCCACAGGGAATTCTTGCAAGTGGCGCTGAGCGAAAGCCAGATCAGCTAAACATGGGTTCCCAGCAAATTTAATTACAAAAGATGTCCGGCACTTACATGCTCGATAAACCACTACACATAGAGGCAAAGGAAGCCTGTTTGAGTCAGCTCCCTCCAATAAAGCGCAGGATATGGCTCCCTGAGCACAGGACGTATCAGCTATTAAGCTAACGGCTGACAGCAGTCCTAGACTGCAGCTGGGTGAGGCAGCGAGGCCGAGTCCTCTCACCGGGGAACAGACACACTGCTGTTCATGACAGTGCCAGGATGCTCTGGATGGGGGCACAGACTGTGTTACCCACTGGAAGCAGCAGCAGTGAGGCTGGCCACGGCATGGTGGGGTGAAGCTCTGCAAACACATTCTCCCTCAGTGGCACTGCAGAGTGCTCTGCATAGAGAGGATCAACAAACAGCCGTACTGAAAGAGCTGCCTCTCCGCTCCAGGCTCGAGGGAACGGCAGGGTATGGAGACTGAGGGTTTCAACTTGAGGTCTCTGCGGGAAGCAGACATCTCTGCCCACAAGTGCTAAGCATAACCTTGACACTCCACGAAACTCCTTTCAGCCTCCGCTCTTCTGCAGCCAGAGCTCCTTCCTCCTCAACACCCACACCGACACAATACACACACGCAGCCCCAGGGCTGGCACAGCTGGAAGAAGAGGTGCCAAGGACAGGCAGACAGACCTGAGCTCAGCCCCCATTGCCGAACAAGACAGTGCTGACCGAGATTAAATCAAGAGCAGCATATTAGGAAGGCAGGCCCAAATCAGCGTGTGAGCTCAGCACAGGGCCAGACTGCAAGATCTCACCAGCTTGAGACTCGGTTGCCTCAGGGGTCTTTGCACCACAGTCTGAGAAGGGAATAGATTCTCCTGCGCACTCTTATGCTCAACTTGTTCTCAGGACATGGGAAAATTTCAAACAGTAAGCCTCACATCATGACTCTCTCCTTATTTAACCCATAGTCATACTGAAAGAGGAGGTTAGAGACCAGATGAAAGCATGCCAAGATGGAGGCATCACTGGGAAGGTGGGTGTTTCAAGACAGGATCACATCAGGCTCCCCAAATTCAGCTCTGAAATCACTGCTGGCAAGTCACAGACTGCAAGGCACAACCAGTGTCCCTTTCCAGCCTCAGTACTGTCATCGCCTCTCTAAGAGTCCCTGAAACACCCGGGGCAGGCAGATACTTGCCTCTCTCAACCTGTTCCAACAGTGAAATCATCACAGGGTTTCTATCAGGTGGGAGTGAGACACAGCCACATGGCAAACATCTTGCCTGCTGGCACTGTAAGTGCAAAAGATCCCCCAATTTCAGCACAGACCCCAGCAATAAAGGGGAATAGTCTGACGTGGCAGGACAAGCCAAAAATTTGGACAATGTGGGCTGCAGAGAGCCTCTCACTCTGTCTGTGAGTGAGAAACCCTTGCTCAACACCCCCATCGCACCTGAACCCAACCATCCAGGTGCCCCCACGTGCGCTGTGGAGGGAGAATAATACCGACGGCCGATGTGGCAGTACCCGGCAACTGCTGAGATCGAGTTCTTCACTGCTGCAGAAATGCAATGCCCTTGACCTCACCTTGCAGCAAACCGCTGCTGTGGATTTTAGTCTTTTGGCATCAATCTCATTTTGCTAAGGGATGACAGATGCACACTGCAAGGGAAAACAGGTTCAGTAGATCCTCCAAGCTTAAACAGATCTTGGCTTGGCTGCCTGTGACTGCTGCAGACTTGGGGTCATATAGATGGGAGAGATGATGTAAGGGATAGAGGTGAGGGATTTGGGGCACAGAGAAGAACCCCACCTGAATCAAAAGCTTTTTCCCTTGTGACTAAGCCATCCCACTTTTCACCTCAGCGCTCTCCACTCTCATGGGATGAGAAGCCACTGTGCCTGGTCCCTCTGTCCTGTTTAGCTTCTCCTCAGCTACTGCCCCTCACTACCTAGGCGCACAGGGCTTAGCGAAACAGGGACAACATGGGCTAGCATACAAATAAAGCCCTCCTATACAAATGAAGTTCTCCTAGTGCTCCTCCTCAGCCCTTTTAACTAGTTTCTGTAGCTAGCAAGCTCCTGTTCACACTGCCAAGAAGACATCAGAGGGACTGGGGGAGATCTTGGAGGATGCATCTCCTCTTCCTTCAAAATACCAAGCTTCAAATGGCCACGGACATCTGGTCCTTTTGCTCTGCTGAGGCCATCAGGGACAGACACCCAACAGGCTCCACGGAGGTGAATCTCAGCATGCCCTTCATGGGTGTAGGAGAAGTGCCAAGTGCTCTCCAAACGGCCTAATTGATGACTGGCAAATCTAGGCACACAAACAACACGCTGTCTTGTTATCAGCGCAGTTCAGGACCGTTTTCATTTGCAGAAGGCAGGCACGCAGGAAGATACCCTAATCACGGCAAACGTTAAGAAGAGGCAGCCCTCTTGCCTGTAGCATTCCAGCACTGCACCCCTGTCACCAGGTTTCCTTCACCCACTGACCCCTCCTGTCCTGAGCTGGTAACCTGGAAAAGTAGATGTTAGAAGAGGACCACAAAAACCCCCACAGGAATCCCACAGCATGTAGGAGTCATTTAACTGGGGCAACTTCACAAGCAGCAGAAAGTTAAACCACATGCAGGACTGTGCAGATCCATCTGACACAGCTCTTCAGAAACTAAGGGTACAACTGTACCTTTCCAGAAAGAGCAGCCCAATTCATTTCCTGGGAGGACTCAAATCCAGCCTTTGCATATGCCACGATCAACACTCTTAAGTTCCTGCTGTGAACTTAAGTGTCACTAATTGTTGCTGGTACTTCATGTTCCTGCAATCACTCAAGCATTGACCGGCTTTAGAAGAAGAGCACAAGGCTGCATCTATGTGGACTTTGTAATTACAAGCACTGCATCCTCAGCTGGTCAAGGAGCTGGCTTTGCTCCCTTGATGGCAGCAAGTCAAGCTGACCTTTGAAAGAGGAAGCAAAAAGGAATAGACTCCTGCAGAGTAAAAAGCAGGGGGCAGAAAGAAAAAGGCAGTGAGAAAAAAGAACTGAAGAAAGCAGAGGTGTGACAATATGGCAAAGACAGAAAATAAGAGAAGGTTTGAAAAGAGCAGGTAAGAAAGGAGCAGAAAAGGAATCATAACTGTTTTAAGGCCGGAAATTATGATCAGGTGATTTCCTCCAGCCTCCTGTATCACAAAAGGGACTAACTTTGAAAGACTTTAAAAGAAAAATCTAAATCACAACCAACAACTCCAGAAAAATTTTTAAAAGTTACCTGATTTGTTTATCAGCCATTTAATTCAAACTTGATCTTGTTAAAGAATGAATCTGTTCCTTCAAATCACTCCTTAATTTCTTATTCAGTCACTTCTTTTTCACTTCAGTTTCTTCCTGGGAAAGGAAAGAAAGACACAAAGGAGACAAAGTTGAGACACTTATACTCTTCATGAAGCTCAGGTCCTACTGTGCAGGCTGCAGGGTGAGGCCAACCGAGGAACAAATGACTTAAGGGAGCATCTGGTCACCTCAGAGCTCCAGAGAGCGCCTTATAAATGTGTTTGTGTATATAAATATACAAGCACATATGGAGGAAAGAGCTGGCAGAGTTGTCAGGCTCCAACAGCCCACGAGGAAGGGCAGCAGCCAGGCAGTGCACGAGCTCTGCCCAGCATCCAGGACAGCAGTACCTGTCACAGCTCTCTCGAACTCCAGGAAGCATTTCACACAGCACTGTGTGGACCTCGAAACCCCCCGCAGGTCCATCCAGCCACCCCAAGACAATCATGTGCCATCACAAGACTGTTCAGCACTTCCCTCCAACACCTATGTGCCGTTTCTAAAGGACAGTCTTCAAAAACCTGCTCCTGCCGTGGTGACAATCTTTCCTCTATTTTCCCAGCCCAAACAGACAGCCCATGCTCAGTCTTGTGCCAACTTTATCTTTTAAGTAGTGCCTCTCCCTCCCCAAGCTATGGATGTGACTTTGCCCTTTGGGTCGCTCCTGTCAGCTCACTGCCTGCTGGCACAGCACTGAAGCTCCAAGTCTGCAGGAAGACAGTTCTCTCCAAGACTCCCAATTGCGACTGTTTAATGAGAGCTGGCAGGAGCCACCACACAAAGAAATCTGGACACCGGAGAAAGTTTCAGAAGCGGCCACAACCTTCAGCTTTCTGGAGGTGCCCTTGTCTCCTCCTCACCTCCAACCTGGGAATCGGGTGCCCCATGCCTTCATCAGGCACCTCAGCAGCACTCAGCCACTCTCCTCCCTCTCCCCTTCCAGCTGCCACCTGGGTGGCGAGCCAGAAACGGAGGAGATACCTTTGCCCTTTGCCTCTGGAATGAAATTTGCCCCTTAATTGCAGATTTCCTAAGCCACACAGAATCTCACATCCAACAAGGTGGCTTTCAGGCTGACACTTTGCTCTGGAGATACGACCTGAGGGCCAGAGGTGTTCCAGAGAATAAAAGGTCCCTCAAAAAGTGTAAAGAGCTGGTGATGGTGCAAACAGGTACTGGAAGGACAGGGGGTGAGGTTACTGACACTTCAGCACCGACCTGCTCCCCTCCTTGCTACACCAAGTGCCAAGGACAGGACAGCACGAAGGCACTTGCACAGCCCCATGCCTGGGTGATACGAGACTAAAGCTGCCTTTTCTGGAGCCCCACATTCAGCCAAAGCCATGAGACACCAGCACGTGGAGCTCGCTAAGGAAAGGGGCTCCTCTCCAAAACACTGCATGCAAACCTCACCCACTACCACACCTTCTATCCCTCCCGTGACCCCTCTTCGGACAGTTTACCTGATCTCAACTAATCTGTGGAAGCAGATGTTAAACCTCTCCAGATCAGCTAAGTCTGCACTTTTCACTGTGTGCCCTTTCATATCCATGTCCACAAGAATAGTTTGTTTGAGGTTAATCTAATTCTCAATGAATCTAACCAGAGTAAGACCAAAATATAAAAACACAGGGAGACCAGTTGCTGAAAGCCTGTAACCCCGGCATAAACAAGCCCTGAACCAAGAAAACTCACTTGATAACGTCTATACCATCAATAGGATACTCGTATTTATTGAGGGAGCAGCTCTGACAAAATACAATGCACCAAGTGGTCCTGACAGCCTCCTCCAAGCTCCAGCAAACTCCCACCTTGTTGCTCCTGTGGCACCCTTCCCTGCAGAGGGGCAACCAGGAGGGCAGGCACTCGTCACAAAGACAGCCGGGCTGCTAATATTCACCACTGACAGGTAGCCGAGAGGGCAAGAGACCGAGATGGACACACAAACGCATCACAGGGCTGTTTCTTACCTGCTGACTGACACAAGTAGGGTGGTGCAGGTTGGAGAAGATGCTACTGCACCAAGAAGGCCTTGGGACAGCTATCTCTTCCCTTTTGTTCTTTTAAGTTTTGTCTTCGGCTCTCCACGGCTGCCGCAGAGCCCTCCCCAGCTGCCCAGCCCAGCTGGAAAACTGCTGCTGCTTCCCACCAGGGAACTGATGCTCCTGCTGCAGCTGCACAGCAGGAAAGGGTAAAACCATTCTTCCCCTGGGTTTAAAACTGGGCAAAGCTACAGGTTTCCTTGGTGCTGGCTGTACGGCCAGCAAATGCCAGGACTGGTATCATCTCCCCTAACAAAAGCCACTCAACTCACGGCCAAGCGAGGGGAAGCGAACGATGTGATCATTTTACAGCAGACACCAGTGCTTGATAACTGTTTATACAGCACCTGGCACAGAGGAGGCCGGGATGTCCACGGCCAGGGGATTTTAATGCATTAAGGGATTTTAATGCGCTGAAGCAGAAAGTTTATTTGAACTCTGTTTGTTTAAACAGAGCTCCAGCGAATGACCATTTGCAAAACAAACCCAAAGCCACTGCAAACTCTATCTGAGCACTTTGCTTAATCTACAGAACTCCCCGAGTCCCTTAAAAGATGGTGAATGATGAAGCCTCCAGTGCCCTGGCCAGGGAGTTCCTGGCGAGAGCTGGACCCCAGTCCCCCCCAGGGCAGGAAAATAGCTGCTGCAGTCTGAGAGGAGGAAAAACACAGGCTAGGAAGAGAATGCCAGTAATTCTATAGGATATTTAAAAAACAAATCCAGAACAACATTATACATTTAACATAGAAAGGAAAGAGATTAAGTAAAGACCTAAGTATATCTCCCCAGGAACATAATGCTCTCAGGAGCCAGAAAATGCAAACAAAAAAGCCCAGGCAAGCAAAGCTTCTGCAGCCAAGCAGGAGTGTAGCTCCAGGGCTTCCTATGGGAGTAGGGTCAGCGAGCAGGGCTTGCATCTTCCCAGCAAACCTCCCATCAGCACCTGCATTGGGGCAGCAGACAAGTCAGCAGCACCAAAAAGGTGCTGATGCCCCAAGAAGCCTTCATGTGGTTAAACTTCACGGCCAGGCGGACGACAGCACTGCTGGAACTGGGAACCCACGTGGCACAAAGAGCTGGGAAGAAACTGGCAGTGGGTGGGCAGGGGAAACAAGAGCTGCCAGAGATCCACCTCAAAGCCAAAGAGGCTGAGCAGCCCTCATGGAAGGGGGGTCCTAAATCAAACATCCCATAACTACAAGAGCGAGAGCTGCAGAGGCGATGAATTATGAGGCGTTAATTCCTTCCTAGAGTGCTGTTATCACAGCTAGGCATGGATTAATGCCCCATTACTCACACACCGGGACATCCCTTCTACGTTTATTAAAATGATCAAGCAAATTAGTTTCAGAGCGACACACACACGGCGCAGCCTCCACGCTAGGGCAGCAGCCGTGCAAACGACCCAGAGCTCAGGCTGCCACGTGCAGGTAGCCCAGGAGCCTCCTCAACCCAGCCTCTCCCTTTTCCCAGCTCCCGAGGGCAGCAGAGCACCCAGACTGGGGGTACCACAATGCCAACCTAGACACCTTTGGATGTATTTGGTCCTCATAGCCCCAGCCCCTGGCAAAATGGTGCTATTTCGCTCCCCTGCCTTGCCACACACACTCAGCCACCTCCGCCACCCAGACAGTAAGGTTTTCTTCAGGATGGCCAGCCTTTGCGTAGTGCAGACCTGATCAGCCTGGGCTCTTAACCTTTCTGCCTCATCACCTGAAGGAAAAGTGCTTTCAGGAGAATCACGGCCCAGCCTAGGGCATAGGGGAGAGCACACCATCACATGCCACGTGTGCTGCCAGCAGGCTGGGACAGAGCACCCAACATCTCTGCAAGTGGAAGCATCACGGGAGAAGGAACAGGCTAAGCTTACCCACACTTCTTTGACCATGGTCACGGCATTGATTGCCACCACGCTGCCCTACGGCTGCGGGTTGCCACCTCTGCCCCTAGATGCCACTGCTCTGCCCACAATCTGACCCTGGAGGTCCCAACAACTCAGCACCCTCTTTCTTGTCCTGCTCTCACTCTGCCAGGCCACCAGAGCCACCACTGGCTTCTCCAAGCCAGCCACCAGCTCCCAGTCCACCAGCTCCCCCAGTCCTGCCAGCAGCAACCCCCCAGAGGCCGGCTCTTCACTTCTACCTTCCTCCAGCCCTCCCATTTCCAGGCTCTCCCCGGCCCAGAAGCCCCACTCTGCAGCTGAGCGCAGCCTCTCAGGCAAGCCCATTTATCTGAGCGCATGCAGGCTGCCGTTTTGACAGAAGACCTTTAGCCAACGTCAGCTGGCGCTGCGGCCAAAGGAAGCGATCTTGTCCTCTCCCTACACCCAAACATGTGTTCCCATCCCCGCTTTCGTGCCAGCACAAACATTTGTGCAGAGCGGTCAGGCTGGGATGAGACAGAACTGGAGGCCAGCACATGCTGGAGCTGTCACTGAAAGCAAACATTCAAACGACAACCTTGACTGGAAAATAAACAGCAGAAGGGGAAGACAGGACTCCCCTTTCCACATATTTCCATTCGTCTTGAGAGCAGACAAACTCAGTGCCCCAGCCAGAGAAGCCAACATCAAGAAGCAGGGCTCAGAGGGCAAGAGGAGGAAGCAAAGCCGTGCCAGCATCCACCACGGACGCAGCCGTGGGACCGCTCACAGTCAGAGAAGGCGGCGGGGGGGGGGGAAAGCCATCAGCAACCAGTACCTGCTGGGAGAGGAGAAACCCTCTGGGACCAGCACATCGCTTGCCATTAGGCTCTGAAAAGCAGGGGCCTGCCATGACTTTCCTTGCAGCACCAGGCAGGGCATTAGTCTTCAGTAAAGCAAAGCAGCTCTCAAACACGCTGGTGGACACTCCCCCACCATCACAGACTGCCACCTCTCCGGCTGCGCAGGGGCACAGCGCAGCCCCTTCGCACCGT